CTGCAGCAGGGCAGACAGAGGCTCTGGGTGCATGGGATTGGAGCTGTAGCACAAAGGGGCATTCTCAGCTTTGAACAATGGCTGTGTGCTGCTGCCTGGGCACAGGTGGAGGGTCACCTGTTCCAGGGCTTGTGCTCAGGCTGCTGATTGAGGCCTTTTGATCTTGCCCAGACATTCTCTGAGCACTCCTCCTCCCTGCTGCAGTGCTGCTCTGCAATAGCACTGACATCTGATTGTTAATAAAGGCAGGAGCTGATGATTACTCTGTGGTGGCATAGAAACATCTGTCTCTGTGTCTTTGGCCCTTTTTCTTGAGACAGAGAGACTCAATTTTTTTTTGCTGTGGACAGCAGGGCATGGCAGGTAGATCAGTTTGTTTCCTGGATTTAGCATTTTGGTAAGTTTGAACCAGATGTGTTCAGAGCTGAACAAAATCTTCCTCCCCATTGGCAAAGACAGAAGACACAATGAGCTCCAACACTCCTGCAGCTGCAGGTTGGTTGTTTTTTGTTTAATCTGATGTCTGCAGGAGCATATTTGGAGCTCCTCTGGTTATGTTGTTCCCTGGAGAAGTACTCTGTTTGTGGTAGGGAAGCTGGAAGGGTTGGGGCTGCAGGAAAAAAGAGCACAGCTTTGAGTCACAGTGATGGTGTCTGCCATGCCTGTGAGTGCAAATGAGATGGCAGAGGTGCTTCTTGTCCCTGCACCAGCTGTGGCACTGCTTTGAGGTGAAGTTGTCTTGTCTGTGTCTCACACAGGAGCTCCCTGATGTAATCAGTGTGTGGTAGGCTTTGAGAGGAGGGTTATGATGGTCTGTCTGGGCATGGTGGTGTTGGGAACCAAATATATATTTGATAGCTTCTCTGAGCTCTTAAATTCCCTTCTTTCCAAGTGCTCTGAGATATGGTTACTTAACTTGATGGATTTGAAATCTGATTTCTGAACACTCTGATTTTCTGTGGGGAGTTGCAGGGTTTTGGCATGTCTGTAAATGGGGGCATTGGTACCAAGAGTTGGAGGAACTACCCAAGCTTTGTCCTGGATGCCTTTTGATGCACTGTTGGAATGAAGATGAGGGTCCCTGGACTACAAGGTGGCAGACTTCAGTGCCATGAGAGAAGCAGGCAAACCAGAGCTTGGATTCCTTGGTTTCTGGACTCTTTGCCAGTCAAAAAGGCAAGTTCATTCATCTTGTGATCCTGAACCCTATCAGGAAGTGATGGTGAAACTTCCAATCTGGGGCTTGAATAGAAACCAATAGGAGCCTCTGAGGGTCACTGAGGTCTCCTTGGGCACAAACTGCAATGGCTGAATGGGTCACAGTAACAAAACCTTCTCTTGTGATGTGGAAAGGAGTTTCACGCCTTCCTTCTCTGTGGTCTTTGTGCGCAAAAAGCTTTGTTTGTGAGTGTCAAAGGGCAGGGGAAATCCAGAAAGGGTGAAGGTATTTCCTGTGTGTGACAGCCTGTCCTGCTTGGGTCATGGCAGAGATCACCCTGTCTCTTTTGACCTGATTTTTGAGGCTTTGATCCAGGAATGTGACATTCTTCCCCTTTCTTGTGTCATGTCTGCCTGTTGTGTTCAGTGACACCTCCTTGAAAACAAGGGGAATACATCCTTGTGTGCTGAGGAGTGAGACTCCTTGGCTGCCATCCCTTGGTGTGTCCTGACCTCTCCAGTGCTTACAGCTTTGTACCCCCAAATCAGTTCATCAGTCAGCTCATGCTCCTTCCCCAAATTACCTCTTCCTTGGCACTCACTTAGAGCCACAAGCAAGAGATGCTATTTCCCAAATGATAATTGCATGTGGACAGGCTTGTGTAGCTCATCCTACAGGGATCAGGCAGCTCCAAGGGCAGCCATGTGTTGGCTCTGCTCTAGGAACAGCTGCTTGAGCTTTCTTTGGAGAAACAAAGTTGCCCCACTCCCTGGGCTGTTGTTGTGAAGCCTCAGCAAAATCCCTGGAAATGACTCCTGACTCTTGCAGTGGGGTGGCAGATCCTGGTGGTTTGTTCTTCATGAAGTGCTTGGGGTTCTCCTGCTGAAGGGAGCTGTGTGCTGAGCACTTCCTTTGGCTCCCTGAGGAGCAGAGCAGTGCAAGGTTGTGGCTCCTCCAAACTTCTTCCCCTCTCCTTTGGCAGGTTTCTGTGCAGTGTTTGTGGCTTGAGTGACATCCAAGGGAAAGGCTTCCCTATTTTGCTACCAATCCTTTTTTCTGCCTCTTGTGTTTTCCACACGTTTTCATTCAGGGGCTTCTGATCTTTAACAGGTATCTTCCTTCCCTCTCCTTTCCCATATATTTTTTTCATCTCCTTCAGTTGCAACACTACCAGTGTCAGGTGGTGGTGATGCTTTGCTAAAGGTGCTTTCTGTGCTTCCCTCCTGGAACAGGAGTCATAAATCTGCATGATGTGTCTGCACCAGCACACCTTGGTGCCATGTCACATAATTGAGGAAAAATGAAGCTGTGAAGGACAGGGCAACTTCAGAACAAATTGAATTTGCAAACTGGGCCCACTTCAGATGCCTGAGTTGAACAGTTGAACAGAGCTGCACACATCAGGACACTTCCAGGGAATTCAGGGTGGGTGGTAGACTGTGACAGCTGAGCTCCACGCTTGTCATGCCCTGAGAAGTCCTCCCTCATTTGAGGATTAAACTAGAGCTACTTCCCCGACACAGAACTGCTGCCAAAATTCCAGTCTGGCTCAAGCCACTCTCCACACTTCATAATGAAGTTTGAAAGAGTTTTAACATCTTGGTGTTGGCAGAAACATGGTTTTAAAATCACGGTGTGGTTGGAGACACGCTGGCTCTGGACACTGGTAACAAGGCTGGAGACTTTCATCTGAAGGTCAAATCCAGCTGTGGTGTTAGTGACAAAGTCATGAACTTGTGACTGATGCTTTGGGGCTTACGTGTGGAAATGTGTCTGAGTCCAACGCCAGCACTGGGAGTTGGGAGACCTGGGTTCAGTTCCTGGGCTTTGCCAGAGCTATTCTGAGAGACCCTCAGCAAGACACTCACAGTCTTTGGTCTCTTTGTGAAAAAACACTGAGGTCTACCTACATCAGCGTGCTCCAAGTCCTCAAACTCACACATCTGTGGACTCCTGAACACCACTGGATGCAGAAGGGCAAAGAAATAGGTGGGATGGGCTGGCTCTGTGCAGCCCACACCAGCCAAGTGCCTGGACCACTGCTGTGGGTGTTAGCAGGGGCTGGTGGGCTTTTTGGCAGTTCCAGGGGTGAGGACATCCTGTTCTCAGGAGACTGTGCTGCTCTCCCTCTCTGGGTGAGGGTGCTCCCCGGGCAGGCAGCCCTGTGCTCAGGAGGAAGCCTGTGCATCTCACCCTCTCCAGTGGTTACAGCAGAACTTAGTTTCTGTGTTTGGCAGCTGGCACAAATCATCAGCAAACAGCTTCCTGAGAAATTAGCTTCCCAAAGACTCTGCTAACCACAGCTGAGCTGCTCCATCTTTCCAAGGCTCACATGGGCAGCCTCTCCTGGCAAGCCTTTGTTACTGCTCTTTGGAGCAGCTACCAGGCACTGCAGGGCTGTCCTGGGTGCACACCTGCCTCCCCCTGGAGCGGTTTTGGATGAGATTCAGGCAACCTCCAGCTCTGTTTTCCCCTCATGCCCAGCTGAGCCCAGAGCTGTCTTTGTCTCCTCTGGCTCTCAGCAGGAGGAGCCTCTTCCCCAGGGACAGGGTGCTCAGGGCTTGTGTCTGCCTGGCTTGGAGAGACAAGCATAAACTGCAGCCTGCAACACTGTAATCCCAAAGCTTCAGACTCTCCCTGTGTGTGCCAAATTCTTTTGGCTGTTAAATAAGGGTAGGAATTTTGAGGGGAACTTGTAGAGTACAACTTCTGTGTTTGCTTTTAGCTTCATGAATAGCAGCAGTGACTTGTTTGGCTGTATACTGGGAAAACTCTGAGCTGCCAGCTTTGACGAGCTGCTGTTTTAAAGGAAAAGTTGTCACTTATGCAACTGTCTGTTTTGTGTTGACTTCAGAATCACTGGTGCCTTGCACAGCCCTGCTGTGTCTGCAGGTCACCCTCCAGTTCCCAGAGGGGCTTGGCAGTGCTGTGCTGTAATTGGGACCCTGGGGATGCTGTGCTGCTCACAGAGCTCCCAAACTGTCCTGCAGAACCTTGGCTGTGGTCCAGAGGAGTGTGAGCCTATTTCAGATAGGGGGAGAATTGAGGCACAGGTCAGGCAGCTGGGAAAAGGCTCCAGAAAGGTCCCTGATGTAGTTGTCATGTTGATGCGCTGGTACATCCCAGGTCTGAGGGGTGGGGAAAAGGAAGGCACCTAGGAGATGGGAAACTATTACTGCTGAGTGAGAAAAGGCTGTTGCCAGCCTCTGTTCAATGTCACAGAAGCCCACATGAAGGGAGAGTGTGGGAAACAAGTCATCATCTCTGCATCTTGCAGGGCTTTGCGTTGGTGAGATCACAAAGCTGCTGGTGGTACCTGCAGGAGGAGAGGTGTGGGGAAGGGCCAGTAGAGCACGAGGGCTTAAGGAGGAAAATAAAAGCTGTTAAATCACATCCACACTCTAATAAATGTGGAGGGATAGAATGTAAGAAAATAAAGAGTGCAGAAGGTAGTCTCACACCTGAGGAGTTGCAGCTGCACTAATCACCAAAGATTAGCAACAGGCCTGCCCTTAATAGGCCACAGCTGTGTCCAATGAGGATGAGTGCTAAAAAAGAGTGGGTTAGCTGGGTGAGGAGAGAGTTGGGGTTTGTTGTCTGTACTGTGAAGAAGTAGTCAGTACTGCAAGGAGATGCCCCTGAGAAATCACCGAGAAGGTATGGGACTTCTGCAATACAAGGACAACAAATAAATCCTTGCTGATATTTGTGTGACTCCTTTTTCTGTGGCTGGGGTTGGCTGGGTGCTCTGGGGTGTATCCAGGTGGAAGATGTGCTGTGAATCAATAGCAGCACTGCTGGATCAGGGCACTGTGCTCTGCTGACTCCTTGTTTGTGTTAGTTACAGGACTCTCATCAGGCCCACGTACAAAATGTCCTACAGAACCGTGACCACGCTGGAGTGGAGGTGCTGTCCTGGCTTCACAGGGAGCAACTGTGAGGAGGGTGAGTTATCCAGCAATGCCTCTGTCCTTGTGAGCAGCAAGGATGGAACTGGCTGCCTCGAGCTGGGGTTTGTTCTTTCACGTGCTCTATACACCTCCCAAACACAGGAACAAATCACCTGTTCCCTTCACACCCCATTGTTATCTGAATGTCACACACAGCTCAGAAAAGTGGTCTTGGAAAACAGATCTTTCTGAATGCCTGCAAACAGGCCTGAATGGGGAGGGGGGAAGAAATAAAGAAAGAAAAGGGAATCAGGGGTGACCTGCTTAAAGATGTGCTCGTGCTTGGCATCCTTGGTGTGTTCAGAAAATGTGCTTTCTCCTTTTTGTGTGTTATCTTCTCCCTGTTCCTGTTGTCGCCATCAGTTGCTGCATCCAATAAAAAGCTGGTTCCTGGACGCTGCTTCTGTAAAGTCTGGACCTAAATAATGTGTGCTCCCAGAAATCTTTGAGCCAATACCTTTGGTTCCCTTTCCTACCTGCTCCTTGACTTATTGGTGTAACATTCATGTGTGTGTGAACTGTTTTCATGTGTGTGAAAACAGCTCCCTCCACTCAGAGGAAAAGGGCTCTCTCCAGAGGAGGAGGAAAAAGTATTTTCCTTCTTTTAATCACAACAGGGCATGTTTTACATTTTTCTTCCTAACATTTTCTATTTTAACTGTCTGGGGATTTGAAACAAGTCCTGCTTCTCCACCAATATCAGGTTTAGGTATTAAGGCATCTGCTGAACCTGACTTGAGAGTTCACAGCTTATGAATGGGAGAAACTGAGCCTGGAGTTTTCTGTTCATTTGCATCAGGTCAACACAGCCTGTCTCTGGCTGCTGAAGGGTCAGAGGGGGTGTCCAACATCTCTGAGTCTGCTGTTTGTGCTGCTTTTCTTTGTGCTGTGATAACTTAATTCCAATCTCACCATTCAGGCACATCTCTGCCGAGGAAGTTGTCTCGTTGCAGTCCCAAAGAGTGATGGCTGCAGACAGCAGCTGGCTCCAGGCTGCTGAGCAGACAATGACTTCCCAGAAGCTCCAGAAAACCCTTATAAAGTGGCAAAGCTACCCAAAGCTGCAGTCTGCAGGAGAGAGCTTTACATTTTAACATAATGCTAAAAGAATTATGTGTCAGACATGTTTTATGAAAAATCCTTTCCTTAGGATTTTTCCTCCTGTGAAGCTGAGAAGCCTCAGGAACAAAATGTAAACAATGGTTTTCTGCTGCTGTGGAATGCAACAGGTGCATGTGTGATTGGTCTCATGTGGTTGTTTTTAATTAATGGCCAATCACAGTCAGCTGGCTTGGACTCTGTCTAAGACACAAGCCTTTATTAGTTTCTTTTTCTATTCGTAGTTAGCCTTCTGATTAAATCCTTTCTTCGATTCTTTTAGTATAGTTTTAATTAATATACATATAAAATAGTTTAAATTAATATAATATATATCATAAAATAATAAATCAAGCCTTCTGAAACATGGACTCAGATCCTCATCTCTTCCCTCATCCTCGGACCCCTGTGATCACCGTCACAGAACTGAGCAGAGAGGAGCTGCTTTGTGCAGCTTGAGTTTCCAGCTGTCCCTGCAAGGCAAGGGGAGCTGGGGCTGGTGGCAGAGCTGAGGATGTGCCTGGTGACCTGAGGAGCCCCTGTTCGTGCCTGTAGGTTTGGACAGGTGTGAGTTATTGCAGCTCAGTGGTGCTGCTGGTGCAAAGGAGAGATTCCAGCCCCCCCCTGCAGTGCCAGATCTGTCTCAGCAGAGTTCAGTGGAAATAAAAAGCCAACATGAGCTGGTTTGAGAAAGCCGGCAGTGATCTCGCAGGAGCAGCTCTGTACAATGAGGTGACAATTTTATACAGCTACTTTGAAAGGTGGAACTGTTCTTTTGGGCTTGGATATGGTCTGTGGAGTGTGAGAAGAAAGCCAGTAGTAAGCCCTTACTTTCAAGTGTGAGATTCTTTTTACCTTTTTTTTCCCTCTCCTTAAAACATCTGGTGATACTGACAGTCCCATATCCTTGAATGAAAGAGGAAAATAAAAAAGACCCTTTCTAGTGCAGCAGGGTTGGCCCCTTAGTTTTTAGTGTAAATACTGGTGCTAGTGGTCTGCATGGCCCTTCAAGCTGTCAATTTTAAAATGGAAATATTTACTTACTCTTTATGTTAATCCTTAATGTTAGTGTCACTTGGAAATCAAAGTAAAAAAAGGCTAAAAATAGGCTGGTTTAGGGTTTTTGGCAACCCAATATGAGGCCTTTTGTACTCTTTCCTTTCTGTGCTCTCCCCTGCTGCAAGATTGGTTCCTCTGAGAGGGTGGGATGCTTATCTGTGTGATTCTTCCTGGAAACAGCAGACAAAAGGAAACAGAAAACTAAACTGAAGCAAAACAAAAACAGTGCAGTGCTGAAGCCACAGTGAATTAGCAGGGCAGAACCTCAAAATGCTTTCATCTTTCTTTGGTAGTTAGATTCCTCCTCAATACTTCATTTCACTTGCATGTGCAGCTGGTGCTTTAGAAGTTGATGTGAGGTAGGTATGACTGGAGGCAGCCTGGACCTGCATTATTTTTAATTTGCCTTCTTGCTGTGCTGCAAATCCTCCCATTCTCTGACAGCCTCTGCTGCCACTGGCAGCTGCAGTGGCTCTGAGCTTCCATGCAACATCTCCTGGTTCCAGAGACTGAAGGGAAACTCTTCCTTTCCCAATGGGCCTTGGGACAGTCAGGGTGTGTTTCCCTCAGGGGGGATGGATTAAGCCAGCAGAGAATGGATTGATGAAGCACCAGAAGAGTTCTGGGAGCTGTGTGTGCATGGGCATGGATGAAGGTAGTCTTTGATGATATAAATCTGCCTATAAGATCTATTGATTCCTTCTTTAACCCACTATAAGCAGAGTTAATATTTGCTCCAGTTTTGTGCTGTTCTGGAGCAGTGTCTTTTGGGGGAACCACTGCCGCACAGATTATTTTTACTAGCTGTCCTTATATCAAACCTTCCTTGCCCTTTTAAAATTTATTTATTTTAGCATTGTATGAAGGAAGACAGGATAGGGTGAACCAAGGAAAGAAGTGAAAGAATTTGAAGCCATTCAGAGGCTGCAGCTATTTCTGATACCATAACTTGTGATCTCCCAAATGGCAGGTCAGCTTTTCTTTTGCAAAAGCAGCAGCTCACTGTGGGTGTCTAGCCCCAAAATATGACAGACTCCTGATGAGACTGGTTTGCTGGAAATGCCTTCAGTGGGAAAACCTCCCTCTGTTAGAGCAAGGTGCTAAATGTAATTAAATCACTGAAGTGTCTCCATCCTCAGTTGTAAGGTAAAATTACTATCCTGGTAAGTTTAGCTTGAGACAGTCACCACTGCAGCGTCACCAGCTGATAGGCACCTACATTAACACTGAAAGCTGCACAATTTTGGATTTAAATTATCCTGGGAATCTAATTCCTGCATTGGAGCTGATAAAAAGCAGCATTGTCTGGAGGAAGCCCAGCTCTAGAGGTGGATGGAGATTTTGCTCTCCCATTGACTTACTGAGGTAGATTTCCAACCTGTTTCCTTTTTCAAGCTGACACTGCCTGGGGCTTTCTCCCCTTCCTTTTCTTGCTTTCCACTCAGTCCAAGCTGTGTCAGTGTTTGAAAGATCTCCAGTTCCTTTACTGGTTTTGTACAACTGTGACCTGCCAATTGAGTTGATAGCCAAAACCCACCAGTTGTACCAGGCCTTCCCAAAGGGTCTCTTTCAACTTCCTTGAATGGAGAAAAAGACTTGATGCAAACCAGTCTGGTGAATATAACTGTCACTAGATACTAACTTTTATTTTCCAGTTTCAGGGGGTTTTTGTTTTGTTTAAAGTGGAGCCCAAGCCCAGGACAGGAAATGAATGCACTGAGCCACCCAGTCTGCTGACTGCTGATATAAAGAACATATGGATGAGGGCAGTGCAGGGGTGAAGTGCTTTAGCCCTTGCAATCATGCATCAAGCTGATTGATTTGAATCCAAGATGATGCTGACATTTCAACTCAGCCTTTTTTTCTATATGGCTGAAAGTTCAAAGGCAAATGCAACCTCTTGGGAGAGGAAAAGTGTCCCCAGCAAGTTCAGGGGCTCAGCATTGCCCTGGAGCTCTCCAGCCAGGCAAGGTCTTATTTTACTTTACAAATATAGCATAGCTTTCTTCCTTGTTTGTTTGTACTGCTTGAGTTTGGGACAGTAGCCAGTATCCTATTTACCCCAGAAGCACATTGATGGTGGACAGCTTAGCTGTTTGGGCAAGAAACGGCTCCCAGAGCAACCTCAGCACCTCTGAAGTGATGCTATTGTGATTCCAATCTTACTTTTTTCTTTTCTAGGCATGCAAGTAACGGCCAAGAACTTCCTTTTTTTTTTTTCTTTGTCTTCCCCTCCTCATTTCAGTTCTTGGAGTATCCTGATCTCCTTCTAATAACTATTATTTGCATCTTTGTTGTCATCCTGATATTTTTAAAAACCTCTTAAGATTCCCACGTGTTTACAGTTTTCAAAGCAGCATAAGAAACTGAGGACTTTCCTCTTGATAAGATAGAGTGCAAAAACAGTTTTCATTTTTACTGCTGGTTTACCAAATTTCTTGGTCCCAAGAGGAGAAATGCAGAACAACACTGCCAGGAAAATCTTAAATGAGTAAATGCAATTATGAGACAAAATTTTATGAGACTGGGAGAAAGGACATCAAAACAAGAGACCTGAAAGTTTGAAAGCTCATGGGAGTGCTCTGAAGGGAATTCCAAGTGGTGTTAATGGGACCTCACTTCTCCATCCTTGTCCTTCTTCCCCATGAACCATTAAAACACAGAACTGTCCATGATGTGAAAATGCAACACAGAGATGATAAAGTAACATTTCTGTAGTATCACACCAGTTCTCTCCAGGAGTTGAGCTTGTGTGTTCTCCTTTCCTCAAGTCCCTCAGTTCCTTCCTCGGCAGAGTTTTTTTGAGCTTTTTAATCTTCCCTTAGAAACCAAGAAAGT